CCCACCACCACCACCCACTTTAGTGGCGCAGCCCAACCTCAGCGCTAGAACCTCAACGGACCCCCGGCGCGGCGCTTGCGATTCCTTTTTCCACCAAACCACTCACAATCGAACACCCCCCCCTTGCTGGTGTCGCTGCAGGACAACGGCCTTGCGATCTTGACGTAATTGCCCCGTGGCGTGGAATTGGGTCTAATTTCCTTTGGGTCCTAAGGTCCTAAGATTATTATTATCTATAACTGCCCTTACTTTTCCTGGACCATTTTTTTTTCGGATCTTCTGGAATTTTTTTTTCTGGGGTTTCCTTTTAAACTTGGCCTGGTTCCGCTTCGAAGTTGTCGCCAAATCCCCAGCCCTAGAAAAAGCTCCCTTGACGGGATTCATTCAGCTCCGGCCTTCCAGTCAACCGTGACTACTCTCAAACCGCAACGTCTAACACCTGCTTTCATATAACACTCACTCGACTCGACGTCCGACAATCACCATGTTCTCCTGTGCCAACTATCCTCGTGGCTGCCGTGGCCGTGTGAACATTAATGGCGGCAAATGCCCCGACTGTGTGGTATGTTCGTCCCCGCCGGAAGCTTACTTTGCCCACTGCCCAACCTCCTACTCCCACCTTATACTGACTCATGGACCTACAGCAATTGAAGCTCCGTCACCCTCGGTCAACGTCTCCCTTCGCCCAACCCAGAGATTACCGTCGAGCCCTGCCGTCGGAGATCCTGAGCGACTCACCATACAAGGAGATGATCGACCGCTGCGCATGATGAATGACCTGATGGCAACATTGCGACGGGCAGGGGCGCAACGGATTATCTCCCGGATCTCTATCGATTGAATGGCAGGGGTCCTGCCGGCTGGGACCGATCCCCGGAGGCCCTTGTGCCCTCGTCCACTTTTCCTTCGCTTTTCTTTTGCATCTTAATCATGTGCTCGGACTGAAATGCATTTCTGGGAGTTTGGATCGATCATCTTCGGGCTGAGAGCGGCGTGAGAGCGGCTTTGTCGCATCTCGACCGATCGCAACGGTCGGACGCTTTTTTTTCTTTGCTTGGCTACGCGCTTGCCATCGCTCGCCATCACTCGCCAACGTGGTATCGCCATTTCCGACGGACCCTTCCGAAAGTTGGAATGCGCATGAACCTCTGCGACGCGAATCTTGTCATCGTGTTTCGCGTCGGCAAACCGGAGTCACAGCATTGGGTCTACAGGGGTTTCTTTGGGTTGTTTTACTGGGTGGTTCATGCGGGTTGACTGTGATTTGGGAGTCCCGGGATGGTCTACAGCTGGTCTACAGCAAAGACACGATAGGGATATGAGTATCTCTTGGTCTTCACAATGATCAGTCGATCTTCTGGATGACGCACAAGACAAGAAGTCAATTCAGCGCGCGCGCAACTGGAAATCTCTGCTGCGGGCGGGCAGTGGGCGCAGGTGGAATTCTTTTTTCTCTTTTCTTTTTTTCTCTCTTCTTCCTTCTCACTATCCTTGACTCCCCCCTTTATCCCCTGGTCCTTCCTTTGTGCGTGGTCATCATCACGACTTCACCACTTCATCCTAACATCGTCTTGTAATTCTTCTCTTTGTCATGTCTTTGCTGCTTTCTTTGTTGTAATATGCGTTGGCCGATTTACCCATACCCAATTCGGCTACCTGTACGATCCAAGGTACTTCCTCTTTTCTACTTGTCATACTTGAATATACCCTATTTCTTTTTCTTTTTTTTTTTCTCTTTGCTATGATTATGATTCGTGTCACGAAAGTAGGTAGCCGTCTTTAACAAAGAAAGCCCGAACTTCGCACCTATTAGCCGGTTCCTACTAGATGCCTGAAACGGACACTGAGTGAGCAGACGGACGGGTTGGGTGATGTCGGGTATGGTGACACCATTCCTCGGTAGATCGATGACCCTCTCGGGATCTGCCTTGAACCCTGTTTTCCCCCTCTCTTACTTTTGCTTCTGCATTTTTCTACGCTGGTCTGTCGCGAGCAGCTGATCTCTTCCGTCTTGGAGCCGGTGATGCCTGCAGCAGCAGCAGCAGCAGCATCTCACCACTTGCTTGAAAGTACCTTTGGACTGTCCATGTGACCGGTCCTTCGAGCCAAGAACCCTGCAGAGTAGTACGGTGGTATTGTCGTCGTAGTAGCCTGGGGGTCGAAGTCATCATGAATCAACCATTAGTAAGGACCAGTCCCGAGGACCATCCATGCGCCGTAACGTATTATCCGTCAGCTGTCATTCGTTTTTTGGGTGAGTGGGCGTGCGCGCGCAACGCACGAATTCCCGGGCTCCTCCTCCCCTCCCTTCTTGTGACCCCGCTCCGCTCGGCATTGCCCGGACCGTTGCAGCTTGTCTTCTGCCTTGCCTTGCCTTGCCCTGCCTTGCCTTGCCTTGTGTTGGTCTTCCGATCACCCGTGCAAGAGACCAGCCGTACAAGAGAGAAAAGTCGTGTCAGCATGGAATTAGTCGAATCAGGATTTCCGTACTCCGTACTCACCTCACCGATTTGGGATTCCTGTCTGTAGGTAGCCTGCACTGCCTTCGTGTCAGCCTGTTATATATACTACTGTTATCTTAATGACAACATTAACACGGATAACCTGACCAACAGTACAGCATCGCCTCAGTATCCCGACACGGTATAGAGGACCAGTACTGACCGACTAATTTCATTTTCTGGATGTGTACAGTACACTACAGCCGGGTTACCCAGGCCCGCCGCTACGCAAGTAACCTATGGTCAAGCCTAGCAACACGTCAGGAAATATCTTCCTACTTACCCGGTAAGGTAAGTTAACGGCATTGATCCACCATCTGTTACCCGGTCCCCACTAACTGCCCTCCCCCGTCTTCCCACCCCCTCCCTTAGTACCCGCTCCCTCCCGCCGGCGGTGGTCTGGCACATTCTGCTACGTATGCTGGTGCTCGTAAAAGTGGTGTGACGAGCTTGGATTGTCGCCCTTGTCCTCTTTGATCGTCATCATTTAATCAAACGGCGAATACTCCGAGACTGGCAGTGTCGATGTCGCTGTCAAGTTTCCTGCTTCGTGGCCCCTGACGTCAATGCGGGGTAAAGGGCCCTTTTGAAACATGATCAAGCTGATGCAGGTGAGTTGGAATGATGATGCACTTCCATGCCGGCTGGAATGAGAAAAGAAAGCCTCGGCTCATGGCTACCACCTTCAAGTCCCCTCACCGCTGTACCCAGTCAGAGCGGCAAACACGCAGCCCACTACCCTCAGAGAACTACATGTACTGTGCATTACACACCTAACGTCCAGTCCAGTGCATGTCACCTTCCACCCACGAGACGCAGCAGAACTACCAGTAGTATGAGGAAGTGACAGCCCTTGCAGCAAAGTAAGCATAACACGAGAGTAAGAAAAAAAATAAAACAACGCAAACCCACTTGTCATTGACATTGACATCGACACCGACAACGACACCAAACCCCCAAACCCTTGTGGCTGCCGGTGGCGCTCAGATCATCCTTGTCCTTACGTCTCATTACTGTATATAGTAACTTCCGGCAAAAGGGTGGTGTGTCGCTTATGCAGCCAGGATCGGCGTCCAGACCTGTCCGTGAGGCCTGCCTTGGTCTTCCCGCTTGGCGGGTGGACTGGCTGGCTGACTGGCTGGTTGACTAGTGACCGGACAGATAGGTAAGTGTTGGCTGGATGGCTGGCTGCAGATGATCTGCTCTGCGTTCGCCTTGGGGGGCGATGCAATGCGCTGCGCTGCGCTGCGCTTCGGGGTCGTGGCTGGATTAGGGGGGTCTAGATTGGGGGTGTGGGGTTGGTTAGTTGTAAGAGATGCTTACTGTAGGGTGTGGTGTGGTGGTGGGTGTTGCTTTGGGGAGAGGTTACGGGGTTGGGTGTCGACGGTACGGTATATCTTATACGATGCGGGGAATTGGGCGGGGAGATAATATACTCATAGTAAATAAGCTCTGGGATCCAGTTCGTGGGTTTCTCGGTATAAGTATATGTGCCGGGTTTACTGGTCCGAGTATTTCCGGGCCCCGGTTGCTGGCGGGGTTTGGTTGTTTGGGGTTATATCTGGGCTACACTGGGCAAGGATAAGGAGCGGTGCTGGGTTGTTGGAGCTTGAGCTTGGAGCTTTGACGGTGGAATTTGACAGGTGAGGGGGGTGGGTTGATTGATGGGGGTATAATTGTATGAAGTATTGGAGACTAGACTTATAGGCCCAGTGGGTTACTGGGGAGGTAGTTATCATGTGAAAGCTGAGTGGAGGAAAGGGTCGAGATCGGTCGAGGCGGCGGTGGGGTTCATCCCTGTCCACGCTGGTTCTAGACTTTTCTTGATCAGTATGGGCTAGAAGGTTGATATTGGTGTTTGCGGTCGTTGTTTGGCTTGGCGGGTTGAGGGTTGGTAAAATGACTTGGATGACATGCACTTTTTGCTATAAGTTATGTGCGGTGATCAGGTAAGCTTTCATGTCGTTGTGGCTGGTCAATTGATGCTCGGCAGTGACTAGAGGCCTCTCGGTGGTTATGTGGTTTCTGATCTTTGAGGAATCACCTTCTTGAGTCGTTGGTAGTGCATCTTAGCCCATAACTTGGTGGCGCAACGATTGTCTGGGACACTATTAGATATAACTTATGCAAAACAATCGGCCACAAAGTAAGAGGGTACGGTACATTGCGAGCTCCCGAGTCGGACTTCACAACTTCTTCATATCGCAACCATATGAACAGCACCACGATTCACGCCTCTAGACCATGCGTGCTTTGCAAGAGCTTCAGGAAGGTCGTGGGAGGTTTAAGGAAGGCGCAATCAACTCGCCTCATCTCCTAAAATGCAATCGCTCAAACGTCCCTTCCTCAGCAAGATGGCACCCACGCGCATACAGTCTCCACCCGCCGTGAGCGTCACTCTTCCAAACCACATATCGATTAGCGAATATCACAAGTCCTTGATATAGGTATTTTCGCAGTTTTTCCAGTTGAATTCAGCAGTTCTCCGTCGCGAGAACAATGGATCGCTTGCGAAGATCCAAATCTGCGCGCTCCGTCCGGCGAAGCCACCGCAGCTCCGTCTCCAGCGACACCTCCGATCCTGTTGTTGCGCGACAACACGCCACGACAGCTGCCTCTCTCGCGATGTTGCGCTCCAAGTGCTCTTATGACGCTCTGGGCGGCCCTGAAAGCATGGCAGTACCCTCCAGGAGACACCGATATACTAGATCACGGCAAAACGCAAGCAATGTCCCCGTCGACAGCGTACCTTCTCGCCCCTCAGTCACCACGGACTCCAGCACACACGATGAGGACTACACGTCTGCGACGCTGCCTTCCATAAGCGAGTTCCAAGGGTTTGACAGCCAAGACTATTTTTTGCCCTCGTCTTATAGACGTCTGCGCAAGTCGCGGTCCATGTTTTCCATGTTTTCCACTGGACAACGTTGTTCACGCATGTCTCACGGACTTTCCTCCCCCTTGAACGATACTACGACTAGTGAGGGCGATCAAACCTCGCGAATGACACGCACTTATGGCACCTTGCGGCGTTCAATGTCTTTTCTCCGCGGAGAAAAGCCGTCGGCTGGTCCGCTGCGCCATGTGCAGAGTCATGACACAGCAATCGACCTGGCGCGCAATCAGTTTCAGCAGCAGTCGGCCGACGACTCCCCTCAGACGGAACAGCCGCGGCTGTCTGTTCCTAAGACTCGTCGAGAGCATAGAGCATTCAGGAAAACGCTTCGTCCGACCACATCAGCTGCGGCTGCTGCCGGCACGCCTTCGGCTCCTCAGTCCAGAAGCGTTCACTCTTATGGAAAAGCGAGATCTCTCTCTTCGTCCATCAAGAAAGGAATCAAGAAGGTCTTGGGTCTTGCAAGACCATCTGCGGGCGAGGTCGAGGCGCAGGGGATTTCTTCATCCTGCCAGAACAAAACACGGACGAGTGCCAACGAACTGAGCACTAGCTGGTTAACGCACAGCCCCCACACCCCACTCACGACTCATATAGAAGCCAATGTACACACGAAGCAGTATCCAGCAGCCGAGGTTGCCGAAAGCTCAGAAAGCTTGGCTACGAGCCGCTCTCGCGTAACAAGCTGGGCAGACTCGACCGTTGCCAATACTATTGTGACCGGCAACATTGGTGGTCGAAGCCATTTGTCGGTAATCGAAGAGAAAGTTCATTCGGAACAGACCCTTGCAGGGGCTCCGTCCTATGAAAACAGCCCCATCTCCCACGGTAGCCCTGTCAAGCCAACCAGCAAGATTGACAGCCAACGATTGTATTCCGCTTTGATGAGAAGGATTGTCGAGGGCAAAGCACCGAATGCAAGCGAAAGCATTGACATTGGTCATGTCAAAGAGCATCGCATCGTCCCAACGCCTGCTGCCTCGGTAGCTGTGCGTCATAATGGGCAGACCGTTCGTATGATTCCGAGTGATGAATCCATCCCATCATCCAAGTCCTTCATCACTGCGAATGCCGGTACGGTGACTCCGCCGCGGCGGTCACAGTGTCCTACTCAATGCCTACCAGAGTCCTCCTGTCCTGGCAAGAATCGGATGAGCACCTCCTTGATCTCTGGTAACAAGAGCATTGCACTCTCAAGGGCCAGCAAACCGCCTATCGAGATAGCCACCGGCCACCTAGGCACCCCCGACCATCAGAGTCCGGACGCAGCTTCCGACTCTCCCAGTGTATATTCATGCTCCACCGGCGGCAAATCGCTCGATCCAAGCAACGGCGAGGTTTCCTCCCAACTCCCCGACGAGCCAGGAACGGCTACAATCTACGACACTCACCGAGCCACCTACAGCTCCCCAAAGTTCTATCCGGAGATTCAAACACGTCGAGCATCGGCCCGGCCAAGCGCGGACTGGAAGCAATGGATGCACACGGAGATTGCGAAGATTGAGAATCTCAACCCCATCCAATTTCACTATCGCGAGAATGCACAAATCCAAAGCGACGAGGACGATATAATCTGTCAAGCTTCCACTTGCTGGATCGAGAGAGCTCAAGGAGGTGTTTTCAGCGACGATGATATGTGGTCGGATCGCAAGATCACTTCGACTAGCAACTTTTCACGTCCCTTTAGCCGGTCGTCAAGTGTTCAAACAGTAGTAACCACAAAGAAAGACCAGAATGACGTACCGGTACGCCCGCCGCTGCCCTCCAGACCGATATCTCCAAGCTCTACCTACCATGCGGGCAACTATGGCCCCTTCCAGAGTCAAAACAATTCTCGCAAGGAAAGTTTTGCAATGTCGCCCATGCAGACAATTCCAACCAACCGCTTCCGCATGCCTGAGTCACCCACACCACGAAGAGACAAATCCGGGGTATCATCTCAGAAGATGGCGAGTGCCACGTACGGCAGACATCCGGCCAGGTGTCCCCCTGCAGCACGAGATTCCAAGTCCCTGCATAATTGGACGGGTCGAGGATATCGCGACCACCGACAGCTGACCAATGAGAACATGAAAGTTGAGAGCGACTATCATGACATCAAGGGTCAAGATACTCCATCGCCGAATTCATGCTCGCCAATATCGAGCAAGCGTATGGTGGAGATGTTTTTGGAGAGCCGACGACGCCGGGCTGGGGTGGAAGCGACTGATGGGGGTGCTGTGAGTGCCTTCATCTAGAGGCTTCGGTCCTGGAGATATTGTTTTGAAAAAGACACTTATGCCTTGTGCTGATGAATTGTGCACGAGCCGTGGCTTTTGTTCCTCCATAGATGTATGTATGCATGCTCTTCAGGGTAGCTATGGATAGTTAGTGCTATGAGCGATGGATAATTAACCAGGCTGTATATGTTCGTGCCATGATGCCATGATTTTAGAAAATCTTTATTTACTCTTTCAGATTTATGCATGTTTAGGAGGAAACAGGGGTCGATTGGAAATGTCAGTGGAGGTGGTGGTGTTTAGTAGTTGCTTAGCGGCGGGCCAAAGCAAGCTGAAAGGGATTGAGAGGGACAATAATGGCAGCCAGCGCAGCCAGGCTGAAACATTAACTAAAGGAGTAAGTTAAGTTACTAGTAGTTAACTTACCACCACTTCCTCCTCCACTGGTGGCTGCGTCATCTTCTTACTCCCTCACTCCCATTCACTTGTGTCTAAATCGCATCCTTTTTTCTTTTTCTTTTCTTTTTCCCTCTCCTTTGCTTCTTTTGATGACATAGGAGGGAAAGATTTCTTTTTACTGCATTCTATTCTTTCTTTAAGACTGTTGCTCCCCCTTCTGGATGGCCCACCAGTGAACCTTCCCTTCGTTCCCCTCGTTTCGCTCCCCTCTTCTTCCCCGAGGGGCCACGCGGCACGATGCAGTCCATGCAAAGGCAATTTGGCCGCTTCATGAAGCGGTCCGCCGACGAAAGCCAGGTCGCGATCCTGCTCAAAGACTTCGAGGAAGCTGACAAGCTTCTGGGCCGAGTATGTAAACACGCAAGCTCTCCCCCGCAGCAGCACAGGAACTAACTTTCGGCCACCCGCCGTCACTCGCTCCCCTCAGATCATTGAATTTACCAGCGCATGGCGCGATGCCTGGTCCTCGCTTCTCATCCATCAAAACCGCATGCTCGCCGAATTCAACGCCCTCTATGCTCCGATCCTCGGTTCCTCCGACTCCTCCACCGGTCCAAAATCGGCCCCGACGCCACGGGGAACCCTGGCTCGGACAAATAAGCTTCAGGAACAATACGAGGAGCTCCGGAGAGAGCTGCTGGCCGATATCACCGCCGTGGACGAGCGGATGATCAAGCCGGCAACTCAGGCCAGAGAATACCTGATTCCGATGAAGAAGACGATCAAGAAGCGGGATGATCGTAAAGTGTGTTTCTCACCCATTCTTAACTGAATTGGACCATGCTGATTGGGTTGTTCCAGCTCGACTATGAACGCTACCAGAGTCGCGTGGATAATTACACCAAGAAAACGAAACGGTCGGATCGCGACAATGCAGCCCTCGTCAAGGCTGAGGGTGACCTTGCTAAAGCAACAGAGGTAGGTCTCCACCAATTCTCGCCTGGCATTGACGTCGTCTGACGGAGCAGGACTATAACGCTGCGGATGAGCACCTCCGGCACAGTCTCCCGCCGCTGATCGCCGCTGCCTTCTCCCTGCTCCCCCGTTTGCTGGCCACTCAGATAGAGCTCCAAAACAATATGTTGGCGCATTACTACACCGTGGTGCTGGAGTACAGCCAGGATGAACAATTCCCGGTCCCCGCACCGCCAATGGAGCATATCGTCGAGGACTGGGAGCGCGCCCAACTGCCCGTCCAGCAGGAAGTCGAAAGTTTCGCTAGCATCGCCAACGGCAAGACCGTTCGCCTGTCCCCGGTGGACGAACATCAACGCAACGGTCATAATTATCTCAGTCGCCCTGCGAATCTAATATCTAGTTACTGCCGCTCACCTGGCGCCCACGAAGAAACGCCGCCCCCAAAACCCCCACGGCCCGTTTCCCCAAATCCCGCCGCGGTGCAGCGCAAAGTTCCGCCTCCAGCGCCTCCGGCAGCTCAGACAAAGCTTCCTCCCATGCCACCACCGCCCGCCTACGATACCAAGCCCCGACCGAATCTCGAAACAAAGCCGAAACCCATACCTCGACCGAAACCGCAGCTGTCGAGCATGCCGGCCGCATCAACGTCATCCCTCAATCTACCCTCGAGCTCGAGTCACCATCTCTCCCCGCAAGCATCAGTGGCCCAGACCTCTGCCTCGTCTCCCGCAGCTGAATCGTACGTCTCTGCGGCCGAGTATATCCGTTCCCCTTCGCCGGGCGTGTCTTCCGTTGCTTCACGAGCAGACTACTTTAGTCGAAATAGCAGCAACAATCAGCAGACGTCACCCTCTCCAGCATCGGCTGCGATAGCAGTGTCTCCCGGGCTTTCTTCCGTTGCGGCTCGTGCGGACTACTTCAGTCGGTCCGGCAGTAACATCCAACTTCCGTCCTCAAACCCGGCTGCATCGACATCTTCCCTGTCGCCTGCGGCGGCGGCAGGTATCTCTCCTGGCTTATCCTCCGTTGCGTCCCGAGCGAATCAGTTCAACCGCCCGAACAGCAGCAACCGTCAGCCATCTCCCTCGCCATCCCGTGCGGCAGTGTCTTCCGTAGCGGGTAAGAAGAAGCCACCTCCACCTCCGCCACCACGCCTGAACTCCCAGAATGCGCTATTCGTGACGGCGCTGTATGATTTTGGGGGCCAGGGGGCGGGGGATTTGTCGTTCCGGGAGGGCGATCGAATCCGTGTTTTGAAGAAGACGGAGAGCACGGATGACTGGTGGGAGGGGGAGCTGAGGGGAGTGAAGGGGAGTTTTCCGGCTAATTATGTGGAGTGATTGTGCAGTGAGAGTATAAAAGTAGTATTCACAATGCATTGTAGGAGTCATCTGGTTCGTGATGCTCTTGGTTCCTGAATATCAACATGGTAATGTCAAGATACTCTCTCTGAACGTAATTCGGCTCTGAAGTGGGCGAACACACAGTGAGAGACGGAAAGTAAACAGGAGTTTATGCTCAGCTCGGGCACGGGACTGACAGCCTCAGGCGCGTCTCGGCCGCGGTCTTCCCGCTTAAACTTATCTTTTCTCCGCGTCGGCTTCTCCAACTTTCTTCCACCCATCACCACCACCACCCTATCCGGTTCCTTCACTCGAATCCATCACCAACCGTTCCACAGCATATACAGCATATACAGCATCTCCCTCGACCCGCAACCTCCACCTCACCTCGAACACAACAAATCCGATGGTCCCCCAGAACAGGGTCCCCAACCCTGGACAGACCGTTCCTCCTCCCCCACCTTGAGCGCAGCACCACAGCACAACAACCTCGCAATCAATCAACCCACCTATCTCTCCCAACACCCACACCCACCACCAAGACACCGGAACAAAATGACCTACCCCTCCACCCCGACCCCCTCGGGGTTCCCCTCTTCCTCATCCTCCTCACCATTCACAACCCCGCTCACCCAAAACACCGCCCCGGTCATCAAACACCGCTGCCTCTTCACGCACGACACGCGCCGCAAGGCCAAGCGCTGGCAGGACGGGTACCTGCGCTACCACACCTTCAACAAACGCATCATGGCCTACGACACGAGCGGCAACTTCATCGGCGATCTGCACTGGCGCCAAGACGCGGCCGTGCAGGACGGCGACGAGCTCGAGTTGGATCGCGGCGTCTTGGTGCAGGTCTGTGAGGCGGTGGGGCGATCGGAGACGGATCTGGGGGCTGTGCTGTCGCATTCACATTCGAATTCGCATTCGAACGGAGTGGGGGGTGGAGTGAATCCTGGGTCTCGGGGTAAGGGTGGGGGAGTTGGGGGAGTTGGGGGGAATGGGAAGAGGGGGTTTGGTGCTGCGAGTACGCAGGGTTCGTTGGCGGGGTCACAGCAGCAGCAGCAGCAGCAGCAGCAGTCTATGCGGTCCTTGAATGATTTGCTGGGGATAAAGAAGACAACGCCGGCTTTGGGGGGAACGGGCTCGGGGACTTCGGGGTTAGCTGCGACGCGAGTTATGCAGAGTCTGGATCGCGGGGGCGGAGAGCTGTCGGCTGCGCGTGCTGCGAAACGGCAGAGGGTTGACGGTTTGGGTTTGGGTTCGGGTGCTGTGGAAGGAGGATTGTTCGCGCAGCAGCAGGTCGCCTCTCGTCGTGTACTGGCTCAGCCGGTCCAGCCTCGACCGCGGCCGGCGGTCGTTGACCTGACGGGTTCGTCGACTGCGCTGGTGACGAATCCAGCTGCTACCGCTACCGCTACATCCACAAGGCTGCAGAGCCACGATCTTGGACGACAAAGAGCCGACTCGAGGACAAGTGTACAAGCTGCGACCACGAAGAGCATGTCTCGCGAAGAGGGGAGTACTATTCCTCCTCGACAAGCATCGCGCAAAGAAGGCAGCAATCCTCCACAGCTACCGTCGTCACGCAAAGAGAGCAGTTGCCCTCTACCACCACCACAAGCAACCCGCAATGAGATCAGCAATCCTCCACAACTACCGTCGTTACGCAAAGAGAGCAACGCAGCGCCAGAAGAGCCACCCGTCCTTCTCCGACTCTCGACCAGCAAACCCCGCAAGAAACTCATGTACTCGGCCCTACTCCCCGGTGGTGGTGGAAAAGTCGCCAAACCAGCTTCATCCGCACCAGCACCAGCACCAGCACCAGCACCAGCATCAGAACCCCCCAAAAACAACAAAAACCCTCCGTCCCCCGCACAACCACCCACGACCACCACCGCCACTCCACCGAACCCCCACGATTTCACTCCCTCGACCTCAACGCAAACCATCCTCAACGACCTAATCACCGCACCACCACGCGTCCCACCCAACCCAAGAAACCACACTCCCACAACCACAAACCCAAACCCAAACCCAAACCCTCTCAGCCCCAAGCCCAACCCAAGATCGAACATCCCAACGCACACCAGCCTCCGCAAATCATACTCCGACCCCACCGCCCTAACCACCACCACCGTCCACAGATCCAACCATACAACCATCCCAGACCCCGCCGGCGACGACCCCTTCGACCAAGGGCCCTGGACCCGCGAGGCCCTGGATCTCTTTGATTTCTGGCCGGCGGGGCGGGCGAAGCCTGTTTAGTTTAAACCCCCCCCATCCATCTCTTGACGTTGTGTTGGGGGTTGATGGGATGGGGTGGGATGAGATGAGATGGGGGCTGGCTAGGTAATAGAAGCGGAACTGTACGGTTATATATGTATGGTGCCCTGTCCTGTTCTCTGCAGGAAGGGAGTAGATGGATATAGTTGGTGGATGAGACTCTCTGCCAGGATGTTTACTTTATGTTTTTATTTTCATTGTGTCTTTCTGTGGAATGACGACCTATGATACCCTTTCTGCATATATTACGATTATATATTACATCTGTGTATACATTCGACCCGTGAATACGAATATACCATAGCTACTATACCTACCTAGACTGTTGTCTCACCCGTTGACTGCTAGGGAGCGAAAAGTTCTTACCTGCAGTGTTGCTGTGCGTTACAGCTAGCCTGCAAGGCAGAATGTGAGCCACTCCGCCAAATATCATCGATTTACACTTCCCCCACCCAAAGTACACATATATCAACCACCACATTACAAACCTACAAGAACACAACCCCAATCAACCAGATCCGTTCGTGTCTGTGCGCATGTGGCAATTCATTTAGTAGCAGGAAGGAATTCCGAGTATACAGTCAGTCAGTCAGCCCGTCAGGAAAATACAGCAGGAGAATGCCTTCTTTCAAAGAGTGTCAGTGTCAATTGCCTCAAGCCAGTCAAGCAACGGGTTAATCCACAAAGAAAAAAAACATGTCACTGTCACTAGTGGGTTGTTGTAAATGTAGGTAGGTTAAGTTTGTAGGTTGGTTTGGTTATAAGTTAGGTGGAGGGCTGTTTTCATGCGATGGAAGAAAGCGCAGCGCAATGAATAAGCCAAAAGGAAACACACAGTAAAAAAGAATGACAAGAATATCAATAAGCCATCCGGGCACCGAGAGTGGAGGAGGTGAAGGAGGGATGAACGGGGCTGCAGTGCCGCCCGCGCGGGGATTAAAATAGAGTAAATATAGAGAGACAAAGAGGGGAGGGAGCCCGGGGAGGGGAGAAAACAAGACGAGACGAGTTCGCCCTTGACGACCAAGGGTATGCAAGTTCCAGACGCTCAGTGTGCACTTATTCAAACTCCAGACATTATAAAGGTACTCCCGTGGGGTTCAAAGTACGATGACAATGGCGATGCAATGAAAGAGATTCGTGCAGAACGAAAATTCGGGGCAATGGATAGCCCGGCCAATCGACGCGCGACGCAACTCAACTCCAAAAGGTGGAGGTTCAATGATGGGAATGAATCCGGTTCACCCGCGGGCTATATTTGCTTGTCCTGGACAAGGCACTGACATCGTGTTTGCCTGGTCAAGTTAGCTGGTGAACAGTCATGACAAGTCAAGGGGTAAACATACCATCACAACAAGCTCGCACATTCTCGAGTCGGTCACCCTGGCTTTCTTGCCTCTCCATCGTGTGCCGAAAGTCATCTTGGCTGTCACGGGTGTGAATGCTTCCCTCATGGACACTCGAGCTGGCATAACGAGGACCCTTGCGACCAAACGACCCCTTGATTGTCGTGTTCAAGATTGTGCTGAGGCGGGAACTAGATCCGTTCCTCTGCTCAGTAAAGGACGAGGGCGAGGCAAGCGAAGGGGAACCCCGACCCGGCGTCAATGTGCGGCGCGATGAGATGGTGGAGCCGGCCCGCTCCTTCGGCCAGTTCCGTGCATTCCGACTGCGCGAAGAGGAGAAGGAGAGTCTCGAGGTCTGCCGAGAGCGTGAGCGGAACTCGGGATTAAACTCATCGATGTCCTCCAAAGAGGCGTTGCTCTGATGCTCTTCGCCATTTTCTGCCGAGTTGCGCAGCAGGAGGTACGACAGTGCATTGAACCACGTCTCGTGCCGCTGGCTGGTGGTTGCTGTGAACCGAACCCGGCGGCCTGGGCTAACCACCTCCAGACTCCTGCAGTGCAGACCAGGGGGATAAGGATTGTCATCAGGAACGACCCTGACAGCCTCAATGGGAACACTCTTGGTCTTCAGTTCACGTGTACCAGCGGTCTGGGGATCTTGCGCACTCCAATACAGCGTACGTGTATAGGGGTGAACCCAGAAGTAGCGTCGGTGTCGAGTGCTGGAGATCTCTCCGGTGACAGTCTTGCGAGTGTACTTCCAAAGGAACTCGCCAATCATCGTTTGCGTGATAGCCTGGATCATCCTCGGGTCCGTACCAGCGGCATAACCCTGAGAACCGATGGGCTGCGCAGCAAATCGCTCATCGATCTCAGAAGCAAAGGATGACACCGATGACCTCCGTGAGATGTGACTGTGACTCTCGCTTCTGAGTTTGACGCGGGAGGTCGTAGTAGACATCGAGTTGACTTGGAGTCCCGACTCATTGGGAGTTCGCGGGCGCTGGCTCACATTGGTTCGGTGAGCGGAGGCCGGGGCAAGAGGCGGGCCCATCAAGTTTGGAGAAGATGGCCGTTGGTCCAATGATCGTTTCTCGGCCGCCATGATAGCCTCCTTGTGGTCGGTGGGCAAAGGCGGGTGGCTCTGGATGCTTGAGGTATGGCTGAGCGAACTGCCCGGCCTGAGCTGATGGGATGGGAGAGAGGATTGAGAGGACTGATGAGTGGGACGAGTGCGTGCTCGGGGTGTGGCAAAGGGTGAGGTGTTCTGCTCCTTGGCCTTATCACTGTCCGGAGGAGATAGTGGCCGGGTGGTGACACGATCCATGAGGATCTGGTCAATCTGCTTCGACGACAGGATTGTTTGGGCACCCTGATCAGCCCGTTCCACCCGACTCGATGATTGCTGTCGTGTGTGGCGTGGGACAGCATTGCCAGAAATGGTGCTTAGAGGCGAAGTGGAGTCTGGCGTTCCGTTTGTACCACTGGCCGCATTTTTGCTTGGACTATCATCATTGACAAGAAGCAATGGCAGTTCGGAAGCAGGGAGACCCTTGACCATTTGCACGCTGTGCTCCGGTGGCGCATTTTCATCGGTCAGCTGAACCGGGGGCACAACAACAGCCGTCGGGACATGTTTGACGGGGATCGTTTCCACCGCGCGCAGCTCAGACAGTGAGATTTCAGGAGCTTGAACCACTGGTGCCTCGTGCAACTGTGGTGTAGCTGGTTCCGTGCTTTCCGATGCAATGACAGAAAGATTCAAATCTGGAAGCTTGGGCTCGGCAATCTCTCGCTCACCAGCAACTGCCACTTCCGGCTCAGCCGGTGCGTCCAGAGCAGCCACAATGGGCTCGGTCTGTTGCGAGAAGATTGACGATACACCCAGCTCTGGCAGCTCGACTTCCTGAGCTTTCTCCACGATGTTCTCGGGCTCTGGGTCTACGCTCCGCTCAATTACTGCCAGGACAGGCTCCGTCTGCTGAGCGACTATCGACGATAGAGTCAGCGGTGGAAGCTCACGTTCGACTTCGACGCGCTTCTCAATAATCACAGGCTCGACCACCGGAGTAGGCTTGGGAATGGCCGCGACAGGCTCGGTGTCCAGAGAGTAGAGTGGCGAGACGGTAAGCTCCACAATCTCAGTGTTGGTGCCATGTTCAGCAAAGACGACCACTGGCGCAGGTTCAGGGAGGGCTGCCCCAACAGGCAGGGTATATTGAGATGAAAGTGTCGACATCGCCACATTGGGAACATAGACGGGTTCGGGTTGAGAAACACGCGCAACGATTGGCTCAGTAGAAGCGGAGGAGATCAAAGACAATGCCACCTTTGGCGGGTCAGGAATGACGGATGCAGCGGGTTCTGTCGTGACTCCAACAGCATACGCAGTGTCCAGATGAGGGCGCCTCGGCGGAGATGGAACAGTCTCCTCAGAAGAGACAGATGAGACATCCAACTGCACCTGAGCAGATGGTTGCTGTACTTCTCTCTGGGTTTCAGCGATAACTGCCTCAGATTCAGGAACGATCCACTGAGTTGAAGCATGCACCAGTTCAGGCGCTTGCTCTTGCACCGTCGCAGTGCCAGCATCAGATGTGGCTGATTTCGAGGGAAACACTGGTGCGTTGTTGACCGTTTCCTCGGTGGCAGGCACAGCGGGCTCCCATGGATCCGTCATCATACCAGAGTCAACCATGAGGGGTTTCGAGATAGTATCAAGAACAGCTTCTGATGGCCGTCTGGAATCGTAAGCGGCGAGAATGCGCGGAGTCGAGACCTGTGATGCCGTGTCGAAGCGCATCGGAGGTCCAAAGTCACCCTCTTGATCATCGTCACCGTCCAACTCAGCAAGCTCCATGAAGAGGCTCTGTCCCTCTGGGCTTGCTGAGCTTTGCATGAAGCTTGTGGCTGGAGATTCGCGAGCGGTGGAGGGCCTGCTATTGGAAGCCATGGGAGCCTCGCCAGAAGGACGGATCCTCCTCACGATACTCCTCTTGTTCCTCACCCTGTATCTAGGACTAATTTGGCTAGGCGATGGGAAGCCTTCCTCATCGATCACGTCCTCGTCACTTGAGTTGGAGGCAGTACTCTCGTAAGCCTTCCTGTCGCGGGTCTTGGTCATCGTGAAAGAGGACACGCGCCCGCGTGGAGTCCTCTGCAGCCGGTCGTCTGTCTCCGTGAGCTCGCCGCTATCCGTGCTATCATCAGCCATGCTTTCTAGGCCAGTCTGGAAAGCTTCGCTTTCCGTGGCTGTTCCTCGTTCGGTGGCTGTTTCAAAGTTGTCGTCGGCTTCGGTAGCGGTCTGGTACGCATCGCTCGGTTCTTCAGATGACTGTCCTCCCATACGGGCTCGGGACGCCTTGAGAGCGGCTTTATGAGAGGGACTGGCGTCGGTAGCGTTGTCTTCCCAATCCGATTCATGGATTTCAATCTCCGCTCTCTTTCGACCAGCACCCAGCAGATCGGGCCGTGCGGCCTTGCGTGCAGGGTCAGGCTTAGTCTTCTGGCGTTTGCTAGACGGACCGGTTGACGCCGCGGACTCTCGGCGCTTCGTCTCAAGTTCATCGCGGGCGTCCTGCAGCATGCGCTTCAGGTCAATCTTCTCGGTCTTTTCGCGATGGATAGTGCTCTTGAGATTCTGGATCATGCGGTGGGCATGACCGAGCGAACTCTTCAAGGTCTCCGTTTCGAGGTGGTTGTGTCGCGGCGTGAACTTGTTGGGAGACGGCGGCGGGGAGTTCTCGGGCGTCGAATGGTCCTGGTCGTCTGAGTCTTGATCCCGATGGACTTCCCGGGAAAGCTCTTGTTCTTGCTGGCGAAGGCGCATGGCCACTGCCCTGGCGAGTTCCTCATTCTGGGAGTTCAATTCTTCGAGTTTCTGCTGCAGCGCAAGCTTCTCGGTGTCACCAGCATGCACATGGCGACGCAAAACGTGAATCTCGGCATCGTTAGCTTTCTGAGCAGCAGTGTGATCTTCGATCAGCTTCGCATTGGCCTGTCTCAGATCCTCGAGCTCCCGCTCCATAGCGCTTTTCTCTGTGGCCAAAGCACCCAGGCTGCTATTGAGTCTGCTTTCTCGGTCGGCTGCTTCCTTGGCAGCTGTCATCAGCTCGCGGGTTCGAGTCTCCAGTGTCCAGTTTTCGTCTTTATAGCGCTCTTCGCTTTCGTCGAGTACTCTGATTCGTTGAGCATACCCCTCGGCCTCGAGTTCGAGTCGCGATTTCTCGAGATTCACATTTTTGAGGGCGTCCTCACGCTCTGCAAGGAGAGCTTGCAGTTGGCGCACTTGTGCGAGGAGAGAGGTAGAAATCTCGGTGGCGAACTCAATGTCATGGACGCGGTTGGAGGGCTGATTGCGCTGCTTTCGTGACGGAACGCTGACTTTACTGGGCGAGTTGGTGGCCTGGCCGGCGAAGAGGGCGGAGCTAATGGGTGACTAACAACGATTGTCATTAGCCGTGTGCAAGAAGCATCAAAACGAATGCGCCCTACCTTTTGCTCATGCGGAGTTCCGAAATGGCCATCTTCACCGCTGGCGAGACGCTTCGGGGCCAGGAATGCGCGTGCCGTTTCGCGGCCAATCTCATTGTACTCCTTCTCCAGGTCCACGAGCTTGCGACGTAGGTCCGGGCCAATCTGGCCCTCCTCCTGCTGTTGCTCCACTTCCCGCAGCTTTTCCTCGAGCTGTTTCTGCTGTTCGATCAGTGCCGTTCCCAGCTTGCCTGCCTCTTCGAGTCGGCGCTCGGTTTCCGCCAGATGAGCCTCGAGCGCCCGTTTGGCTTGGGCGGGGGAGGACGCATTCAGGCTGAACAATTGGGTGTCAAAGGAGGAGTATTTGTGCGAATCGCGCGAAGCAATTCCCTCCCTGGCATGGGAGACGAAAGGATCTTCGACCGTAGACATATTGGCGGGACTTCGTTATCTATCATCCGGTGGGGCAGTATCGTGCTCCAGATGCGAGGAGGTTGTGGTGAACGGTCGGATGGGAATCGCCGCAGTCGCGGTCTGCTGTCTTGAAGACAAGACCCAGGTGCCGTAGGTATCCCGCGTAACTCGTCGCCTCGGTATTCGTATCGTCGTATCAATTCTGAATCATCCTCCGGCTTGCGCTCGATTTTCCGACGGTTTGTTCAGATCGAGTCCTTGGGCTATGAGTTCCGTTTACTGAGCCGACCAGCGAACTTGGCTCCGCAAATACCGTGGCTTCGGACTGAGCGTGGCAGTGGAGCGACACAAGGGATGCGCGCGGTCGGGTCGGCAAAGTCCACGCAGCGACGCGTCTATAGGCGAATGGAAGACGGATTGAAGGGGATCGAGATTGCTGATCGAGCCGAAGGGTTGAGAATGCAGCTAGATGTCGTCCCGAGGGAAGAATCGAGGTGCGACCGAAACAGCGTCACCACAACAAGGCGGCCGGACAACAAACGCGTTGCAGACGTAGGGTGACCTCGTTGTGCGTCGAATCAGAATGCGAGCCAACCCGATAGTCAAGTCTAATCGCTCAGCCTTCGGGAACAGGCAGCGGGCGATGCTTTTGGGGGGGGGGTCTCTGCGGCGCAACAAGCAAGGCCCGACAGGCGCGACAAACAAAGGCAGTGCGCTAATGAGCCACGGGGAGCGGGCGGGTGCGATGATGAACGGTCACCTAACGTTGCCGTTCGGGCGATAAGATTAGGATCAATTGAGGAATTAAAGGAAAGAAAGGAAATAATAAGGAAGGACAAAAGTGGTGAGTATTTTTAATTGCAAAAGAAAGAAAGAAAAAAAGAAGAGGAGATGAAGAAGGGGGTGTGAGTTGAGAAATTAAGAATGAGGGAGTGAGTGAGGGAGTGAGTGATTTCAAAGGCAGTGCCGGAGAGGGGAGGGGGGGGGGTGGAACAACGAGACGTTAGACGACTCGTTGGGCGGGGAGACACACACACGGAAAGGAAGGGAAGAAGAGGAGAAGAGGAGGAGGAGAAGGAGAGGAGACGAGGAGTAAGTCTAGTCTACTCCGTAGTAGGAGAGAGAGAGAAGGGAGAGAGAAGGAAAGGAAGGACGGCAGGGGTAGTGTTTGGCTGGCCTCAGGAATACACACCAGTCTAATTATTGCAGTGCAATGGAGACAATCCAGGCATACTAACGACGCCCAAACCATTGATCTGATACGTAATACTTAATCAATGGTCCAGGTCCATAAATGGGGAGAATTGAATGGAAATGAAAGACAGGAAAAGAGGAGGGGAAAGGGATCAACCCGGTGATTATACAAATATGTAAGTCAGTATCTACGGGGTGTCAGGAGCAACCTTGGAACCAGCGCAGGTCTACAGCAGTAGGTTATTTTGATGCCAACAATCGGCATGGATGAATTGGAACTTAACTGGAACAAGATTGACGCATCCAATCCTGGACTGACGGGACCAACTGACAGGTTGGCCCTCCTGATTTGCGTGGTTTGTCTGGGTTGACTCGGCTCATCTCTGCACCTCTGCACGTGATCCCACCTGACCGGGAAAACTGAGCTGCAGTCGCCAGATCGGGAACCCAGCGTACGTCACTCGACAGGAAGACCTCACCGAGTTGACCGTATACTGTGTATATGCCACTCGCTATGTGGAATGACATGCTGCATGGCGGCAGCTCATACACATTCTTAAGGTTTGTAGGGAGTGACACCGACTCACCTTGCGGTCGGTGGAAGGCTTGGGGTTTGTGTAGGTTTTGATATAAACTTCCGCCTAGCCGTGATTATAGTCGCCCAACAATCTTTGAATTGCTTGGGCAAGTTCGAGACCTACAACCAGGACCATTGCGAGAGATACACAGATCTTCAGTACAGTTTAGAGTAATCGTACTGTACACTGTAGTTACGCCACTAGAGCGGTAGACGAGTGCCAAGCTTCTTATCCAGAGGCGAACCGTGGGAATGCCCCTGGTCTAAAGCATCCCGTCCTCTCCTCCACCTCCTCCACCTCCCACCTATATCCACCGTACTGCAACGAAACAATGATGTCATTAAGGAAGACCTTCAAAGTAGTCTGCTCATCTCATTTACCTGGAGAAGTTGGGTGGGCTACCCTACCGATCTGAGCAACGGTCGATCGTCCAACCACGCTTTAAGCAGGGGCCTGCCTGACCAAGAGGGTAGCGAGATTGCTCGACGCAACTACAATAACAAATTTACATGATTCATGTGTACCCATCCAGATGGTCCGGTTTGGCCAGATATGATTTGACAGGACATTTATATTTATTCTCTAATGACGACGCAATAGATCCCTATGTCTTATCCAGACTCCAGGAATTGCTCCACGCGATCAATCAGATCCGCCTTCTTCCCCACCCCAGAGCGTCCATGAGACGTGAGGAAATCCTTGAGGATATTCACCGTAAGCTGCCCAACATATTAGCGTGGTCACGCACCGCATGGGGTTCGATAATAGTTACCCTGGACAGGTTGTTCTTCTGGTAATGTCGCCGCACTTCCTCCTCAATGTTATTGTCGGCTTCCACTTTGACCTTTTTAGCTGGCTTGGACTCTGCTTCGTCTTCCGGGGCACGATTCTTCGCGCCTCGCTTGACAAGAGTGCTGGATGCTGGTTTCTCAACGGCAATCGTGGCGTACTGCTTCTCGAGCTCGTCGGCCCATGACAACACATAATCCCCGGCGCGCTGGCATTGATAATTAGTGGACAGTTACGGTATGGAGTCGAATTACCATACCTTGTCAATCTGTCTATACTTCGGGACGGTCTTGTCTTCCGGTTTCTCGGGGAGATCCTCGTCCAGAGCCAGCGCCTGTAAGATGCGATAGTGCCATTGTAATGCTAGCACAAGTCAGTCAATGACCAATGACGCGTGGATCAAAGGGCAATTCAAACACGTACATGGATTTGGGTATTTCAGAGGCTCGTAGCAGGCCTTGGGGAGTTGCAGCTGCTGGACAATAACACGCATTTGGTCGATCAACGGTTCTGGAGCCACATTCAGGGTGGTCTCGGGGTTCTGGCGAACATCATCGGCGTACGGAAGTGGCACAATCCACATGCCAGGGGGATACTTCTGCACGCCGTTCTCATCGACCTTCTCCTCTCCGGCGATCATAGCACCAAGGACCGGGCTGGCAGCCCTCCGTGGAATGAACCAGACGAGAGCTATCTTCTTCTGCCGCAGAAGCGTCTGATGCAAGGCGGAGAACACGCGGGTTGAACCCACGTAGTCCTCCTCTGACGGATATATGAAATAAGGATGTTTCATGTTCGCCCAGAAGGGAAGGGCAGAAGCGGGCTTGAAGCCTATGATGCGGATGACCGGATCACCGAAGTTCTTCAACTCCTTCTGCTCCTCGGGGGTAAAGACAACTTGGTCCCCGCCGAACTTGTAGGCCTTTCTGATCTCCCATTTCTCCACCGTGCGCGCCGTGTCGTCGGCTATTTGAGTAGTGACTCCTTTGACAATCTCGGGCTTCTCGCCTCCAAGCCAGACATAGCAGTTCCGGGCGGGCGCTTGCCGCCGAAAGAGGATATAGCCTGACACTGAGATCTTGAGGTTGGGTCCAAGCTCCAGCGGCATATTCGAGAAATGAGTGCGCCGAGGCACGGATCTTGAGTTGACACTAGACAATAGGGTATTGAGGAGGGAGATCCCATCCCCTGTAGCCGTTGAAGCTTTGGAGTCTGGTTGTAGATACGCAGGGGCATCGGGGTCATTCGGAGAGATTTTATAGATGATATCCTTCACAGCCAGTCAGTACAGTACCGATTCCGCCAGAGACAAGATCTTACGTCATAGAACTTGGAGCTGTCGAACTCATGTTCGGGCTGGGAGATGGGGAAGAGCTCAATAGTGACTCCGAGATCGTATAAATCCTTAGCTCGCACTGTCGCGGCAGACCGCAGGGCTTTGTCTTGGGTGTGAGGACTGTCGTTGTCGGTGACTATGAACAACCGCCGCGAAAGGAAGTTGGGCGCTTTGGAGGTGAAAATCTGGTTGGCACAGAATAGGACGTTTGCCATCGACACTTGCTTCTCTGCCGGCACGAGAATCTCTCTGGCTTCCCCCTCATCGTCTACCAGCGCTCGAAGGTCCTTGACTTCTTGCGCAGAGGGGATGTCGAGGTCTGTGAAGAGGTAGCAGTTGGGATAGGACAAGTCGCCTCGGCTGCCCTCGTCTTCATCGTAGAACTTGGACGCCTGCGTCCCGTACAAGAGAACTCCCATCATATCTTGTGGGTTCGAAATGATTCGCTGTTGCATCAAGTGGTATGCGCATTTCAAGGCTGCGGTGACCGGCGATTCTTCCACGGGTTTCTTGGGGTCGGCAGATGGGCGAGGCGCGAGCATGGAGTCGCTAACTTCAATCGCAAAGAGAACCGCATCTTTCACCGATTTGTAATTCTATAGGGTATCAGCCTAGCTGTGCTTTGCTTTGGGAAAAATTGGAGCGAAAGTGAGGTATGTACGGATTCATCGATCTCCTCTTCTTCCTCTTCGCCTACTTCATCGTCTCGCGGTGGGTTACTGTCGGCCATGACTGAGGTGTTCAAAAGAAGCTTCAAATGATTTCAATTAATTTACCAGGAACGAAAGAGGTTAAAAGGGAATTATTCCATGACTAAATGTGGCCCGTGAGAGTTGTGTATCTGCCTGCAGTGGTTTTGCTGCCTGGGCGATTCGGGGAAGCTTTAGACTAGGTTATGTTATGTACATTAAGATGGCGGTCGCGATGACGCGCGGGTTGGCGAGCGGGAGACCGACGCGGGGAAAACACGAACATCATGTGATCTCCGATCAACGATGAGACTTGATGACCCTCGGGTGGTGATGATTGGTGCATCGGAGTTATGAGAAGTCAAGCTCCGTCTCCGTCATCTGCCCAGTTCTGGGCTTTTCCCGACCAGGCCGGCTTTCTCAGCTGCCACTCACTCACTCAGTCTCAACATCTGGCCTTCTGCTTGCCACCTGGCACCCACTGTTCCTGTCCTGTCCTGAATTTCACAATCGTAATCGGTCTGCCTTCAATTTGCCCGGCCTGAACTTCCCCCAGTCTTACATATCCGATCGCAGTACTGCCTCTCAGGCAGTCGCCAAATGACCACCATGGCTCTTTGCCGCCCGTTCACTCTTCCCCGGCAACTGTTGCGACCGGCAACTCGCGCCTCGTTCAATTACTTCCACGAACAGAGACACGGCCTTGCAACAGCAGTTCCTCCAGTCACTCAAGATGCGACCGGCTCTAAGGGCCCCACGGCCATGGTCTTCCTCAACATGGGAGGACCTTCAACAACCGGCGAAGTCGAAGACTTCCTCAGTAGATTATTTGTACGTCTTCGGGGAGGGACGGTTCGCTTTGGCTTCTCACCGGTCGTCCCCCAACTAATTAAAAATCTATACCACAGGCCGACGGCGACTTGATCCCCCTGGGTCGACTACAGTCATATCTCGGACCGCTGATCGCAAAGCGCAGAACGCCTAAGATCCAGAAGCAGTACGCGGAGATCGGCGGCGGCTCGCCGATCAGGAAGTGGTCGGAGTATCAGTGTGAGGAGATGTGCAAGCTGCTGGATAAGATCAACCCGGAGACTGCCCCCCACAAGCCATACGTTGCTTTCCGCTACGCCGCGCCTTTGACCGAGACGATGTATGCGCAATTGCTGCAGGATGGATTCGGCAACGGTAAAGGTGGACGGGCCGTGGCCTTCTCGCAGTACCCGCAATACTCCTGCTCGACCACGGGCAGCTCCTTGAACGAGCTGTGGAAGTGGAGGAACCGCCTGGAGGGGCCCCGGGCTAATGGCGACGCGCAGCCGGCTGGTGCCATCCAGTGGAGCGTGATCGACCGGTGGCCCACGCACCCGGGACTGGTTGAGGCTTTCGCGAAGAACATTGAGGATCAGTTGAAGACCTATCCCGCAGACAAGCGAGACGGCGTTGTTCTCTTGTTCTCGGCCCACAGTCTCCCCATGAGTGTTGTGAACCGAGGTAGGCCGACGGTCTTATTGACCTATTACATTCCGTAGCTAACTGTGCCTTTTTAGGTGACCCCTACCCGGCAGAAGTTGCTGCGACTGTGCATGCAGTCATGCAGCGACTCAAGTTCAGTAACCCTTACCGACTGTGCTGGCAGTCTCAGGTCGGACCAAAGGCTTGGCTGGGAGCACAGACGAGTGATACGGTGCAGGAATATGTGAAGCGGGGTCAGACCGACATTGTTCTGGTTCCTATTGCTTTCACCAGCGACCACATTGAAACCCTCTACGAGCTGGATCTCGAAGTGATGGAGGAGGCCAACCATCCGGGGGTGAAGCGTGCGGAGAGCTTGAATGGTAGCCCCATCTTCATCCAAGCTCTCGCGGACGTTGCCCAGGAGCATCTGCGCAAGGGAGAGCCCTGCTCGCTGCAGATGACTCTGCGTTGTCAGGGCTGCAAGAGTGAGCGATGCTTGGAACAGAAGAAGTTCTTTGCTGGCGAGCGTGCGTCCTCTCTGGTCCTTTAGAAAAATGCACAGTGCTTTAGATGGCAGGCAGGCAGACAGGCGTTTAACAGTTCTTTTATTCTTTTCTGGGTTCTCGGAACATCTCGGTGATAAAGGGTTTCTGTATTGTCGATTGAGAAGACAGGATAATCAAGTGTATATTATTATTATTATTATTATTTCCCAGTCGGCAAGTCGGAGCTCCGAGACCGACGGTTGAGTTCTTATCGGGCTTCGTATCGCCTTCCCTGCCCGCTTCTTATCAACTTCCTTGCTTCAACAACATCCAGTGGCTGACATCCCCCCCCGAAACCTGAAACCAATAAACCAGCTGGCTAACTCCAATGCATGCCATTGTCCCGTCAATCACGTCACTATCTGGTAACGCATCGACTCCTCATTTGAAGACCGAACCTTTTAATCTATCTATCTCTGGCTCAATCCTGACCACGTCTGTTGAGCTTGAGCTTGATTGATAAGCAATTTGTGGCTATCGCCCTTCTCAAACTCCCCCCTTCTCCAGGAATTACAGGCAGCAACTTTCGAATATATACATATACACTCTATATGATTGCTCTCGTGCGACTATCATCCTCATAAATCGCCCGATTAAACATGACGGGCATCAGACCACAAACCAGGGGAGACCCCCCTCCAGCAGAGGTCGACTACAACCCGAGTCTGCGTGCTCGTTCGGATGCAGCCTCGGCTCATTCCGAGCACCACGATGCGACAGACCTTCACACACACGAACAGACGCCTCTACTAGGCGACTTCAGACCATCGCACGACTCCGACGAGACGAGCCTCTCGCCCTCGGGCCATGACTACGACCATGAGGACGAAAGTCCGCGACACAAATGGTGGAAGGCGAGCGTAAGTGACTGATACGCTATAACCCCCGCTATATCCTGCAAAGCTTTCCCTTGCTAACCGTCATCGAACAGGTCTTCTGGCTCTTCCCCTTTCTGACCCTCTACATGCTGGGGTTCGGGGGCACGGCGGTCCCCAAGATCAACCTGATGGTGACGCTGGTGTGCAAGGACTACATGGCGAAGAAAGCCAGCCAGAACCCGGGGTTCACGTACCTGCCGGTGATCATCGGGAGCGACAACGCGCAGTGCCAGGTCCCGGAGGTGCAGTCGCAGGTGGCGCGGTTCCAGCTGTACTACAACCTGGTGGCGGGGATCCTGTCGGCGCTGGTGTGCCCGCGGCTGGGCCACCTGTCGGACCGGCACGGGCGGACGCGGGTGATCGCGCTGAGCACGCTGGCGACGGTGGTCGGGGAGGCGATCACGCTGTTCGTGGCGGCGCAGCCGGACCTGGTCTCGGTGAACGTGCTGCTGGGCGCGGCGTTCGTGGACGGGCTGGGCGGCTCGTTCACGACCATCATGGCGCTGACGGCCTCGTACGCCTCGGACTGCACCGCGCCCGCCCACCGCAGCGTCGCCTTCGGGTACCTGTACGGGGCGCTGTTCTCGGGGCTGGCGGCGGGCCCGCTCCTGGCCGCCGTGCTGATCAAACGCACCGGCCAGGTCCTGGACGTCTTCACGGCCTCGCTCGTCCTCCACATCCTCTTCCTGGTGACCATCCTGCTCCTCGTCCCGGAATCCCTCTCCCCCGGCCGCCAGGCCGCCTTCCGAGACCGCCACCGCAAACACCTGCACGACCAACCCCCGAAACCCATCTGGGACACCCTCAACCCGAAACACCTCCTCACCCCGCTCGCCGTGCTCCTCCCGCCCGTCGGGCGACCGAGCCCCCTCTTCCCCAACGCGGGGGGCGCCACCCCGGCCCTCCGCCGCAACATCATCCTTCTAACGACCCTAGACACCCTCGCCTTCGGCGTGGCCCTCGGCTCGGCGCAGGTCATCATCATGTACGCCGAGTACAAGTTCGGATGGGGCAACGTGGAATCAAGCCTCTTCATCTCAAGCATCAGCATCATCCGCGTCCTGAACCTCTTCGTCATCTACCCCCTCATCACCGCCGTCTTCCAACCCGCCTCAGACCCCCACAACCCCGCAGCCGAAAAACGAGTCCCAGGCTCCTCCCCCTACGAAATCAGCCTCATCCGCATCTCCATCCTCCTCGACACCCTGGGCAATATCGGCTACGCCCTCGCCTTCAACGGCGCCCTCATGACCTTCTCGGGCGTGGTCATGGCGCTGGGCGGCATGGGCGTCCCCACGCTGCAGTCCTCGCTGACCAAGCACGTGCCCCGCGAGGGGCTGGGCCAGATCCTCGGCGCGAAGGGGCTGCTGCACGCGCTCGCGCGCATCTTCGCCCCCACGGCGTGTTCGCTGATCTACAGCGTCACCGTCGGCCGGTTCACCCCGGCGATCTTTGTGGTGCTGGCGGCGGTGTTTGGGGCGGCGTCGGCGGCGAGTTGGTGGATTCGGCCGTTTGGTTAGTTCTTCCCAGTTCCCCTTGTTGTGAATTTGTGCGGGTAGTTCTCTTCTTAGGGGTAATGCTAACAATCGCTGTGTATGGGTAGTGGGTCTGGATGATGAGTCGTTACGGTCCTCGGCGCCCCAGTACAATGAGGAAGGAGTCCACCCAAACAGAGGGGAGGGGTGGGCAGAGTGGGAGGAACCCCCAGAAAGTGAAGCAGCGGAGGAGGTGCGGTTGGCGGATGAGCCGGTTTTACCTTGACCACAAACTTAGGGTCTCATGTAGCTCATGTAGCTCGGGGTAAGCTAGCCACGTTTCTATATATACTCCCTAGAGACTGGACTATGCTATACACCTCTCCCCAAAGTCTGAACCCAATGTAAAAGCGCGGTCAAATGCTGTCATTAAATGCACGTTATCCTATTAATTCTATCCGACACACACACACACACACACACACACACACAAAACATAGCACGTATATATACTAGGTACCCAACCAAAACCAACCAACATCATGAAAGAAGAAGGTATTAATATAGTTAACTCAATGACACTGATGTCAGTATTATACAAGAGGCAAAAAAGGCAAAGGGGATATCCACATAAGCATCAGCATCAGCATCAGCAAAAAGCTTCGATCAGCATGTACGGGAAGATCACCACGCACGCCGTCCAGAACACCATGACACATTGCCACAGCACCAACGGCAGTTTGTACAGCGGTGATTCGGCGATCAGCAGCCACAGCGACAGGAAGGCCACGGAGAAGAAGTGGCCGAACAGCACGGCTGGTTTCTTGGTCATGCCCGCCAGCAGGCCCACGGGGCCGGACGTCATGCCCAGTTGGAAGTAGCGGAAGCAGCCGCGTTGGAGAGCGCGGAGGTGTTCATCTACACCCGCGGTGTGTTAGTTCATGCGACGATGTTTTGACATGCGAAAGGAGGGGGGCAACAGGGACAGGGGCAGGGCACTAACCGTCCGCAGCAAAAAGACTGTACAACGCCATGGCAAGGATATTGATGACCGAGGATCCGTTCTTGCGCTGCCAGTGGAACGACGACAGCTGGCGGATGACCTTCTCAGTGTCGCTGAAGCTGTGCACCTTCTCGGGGCTCAGCAGGTCGCGCAGCACGACAACATCGTTGAACGCGACGGTCATGCCGCCGCCGGTCAGTGGGTGCCGCATGTTGAGGGCGTCGCCCAGGATGACCAGCCCGGGGGTCTGGTTGCGCGCACTGGGCAGATAGGAGTTGGGCATGGAGCGCAGCGGGCCCTTTTCGAGGGCAGCCTCGAAGGAAGGGCGCACGGATTCCGGCAACGAAGGGAGGACGACATTGCGCATGTGGGCCTTGACGCCGCCGTTCTTGACGGAGGCCGACGGCAGATTCTCGGGGATATCGATCAGGATGCGGGTCTCGTGGGTGCCGATCTGGTAGATGAGGATCGGGGCGTCGTTGCTGAGCAGCACATGGCCGTAGTAGGGTTTAGGCATGACGGCGTCGATCAGCTCCAGCCCCCAGAAGCGCGAGCGCACCTCGGGGGTGCGGGCGTGGTGTTGCTTGCGGAACTTGGAGGCGTAGCCGTCCGCCACGACGGTGAGGTGGCCGAAGTAGCAGTCCGCCTGGCCGTCCTTGGTCACGCACTCGACACCCAGAACCTGCTTGGTGTGCGAGCAAGTGACCAGCTCCGTGGCCTTGGTCTCGACCACCGTAACGTTGGGGCACGCCAGCGCCGCGCCGCGCAGCTTCATCACGAACCGGCCGTGGTGGAAGGAGCGGCCCCGGGGCGGCGGCGTCGTCGGCGAGGCCTCCGAGTACGGGATCTCCACCGGCTGGCCGTGGTATGTGATGTAGTACCCCTCCACGGGGATCGCGTCGATCTCCTCCAGACAGTCGGCGAGACCCAGCTGCTCCAGGGCCTGGACACCACCGGGTTGCAGCAGTTCGCCCACGATGCGATCGGGCTCCTTTAACGAGTTCTCCAGCAGCAGCACACTCCGGCCTTGTCTCCCCAGTGTCACGGCGAGGGCGCATCCGAGAATCCCGGCGCCCACGATGACGACGTCGGCGTGGTGGTGGATCTGTCTCCGTTGTTTGGCCACATCAGCGGAGGGGGTGGCGTGGCCATTGGCGACCGCGGTGGCCATTGTGCGATGGGAGAAGACGAAAGGGGGTCAAATTCGACGAGACGAAGTAGTTCGGAAGAGAGCGCAGGGCATATTTCGTCTTCGACACGGGAGAAGAGTAGTCGAAAGGGAGAGGGTGGCTGGTTTCGAGTGAGATGATAAAGGGGGGGGTTGTTTGGAGAAAGAAAAAGTGCGGGCGGAGAGAATCAGACTGGCTGGCCAACAATGAGTGAGTGGCGTGACACCCTGACATGTGAAAAAGAATAGTAGGACCGGCGGAACGGCGGCTATTCCCAACTCAGTAATTTCAGGCACCGTACGATCCTCTTCTACTTCTCTTACTTTCTCGGATTCATCACAGTAAACATCGCCTCATACCCCTACTCATACTCCTACTGTAGAAACCCATGATGAATTCAAATTGGTATCTTCCCCTCATAACTCAGAAATCGGTCATTGACCCTGACTCTGACACCGCTATCGTACAATACAATAATCCCAACTGATTGGTCCCCCGTAAATCTATCCACCTATATACATAAACACAATATGACGAAGACTGTGAATCTCCCCCCGGCTGCAGTAGGACATAGCCTAGGAAAGGGCACTCGTAATCAACCCCTTCAATGGCATGGCATTTACCATCTGTCAAATCATTGTTCTTGTTCTTTTTCTCGCTCCTGCCCTTGCTCGTGCTCTTCTCCTCTCTCTAGGTCGCCCTCTGTCCACTCGAGATCCAGGTATTGCTCCTCGGTTAGGTTGGCAATAGCCCGCACGCGAACATTTTGAATCTCTCCCAGCGCGGCGTGCAATTCATATTCCTCGTCCCACTCGGTGACCGCCCTGTCCACTTCATCCAGTCGGTAGGCTTTGATCGCCGTTGGGGGACGCTTGATGATGTTGCGCCTGAGATTCTTGAGTCGGGGGTTGTGTATCAGATCCGACATTGAGTCATCCTTGCCTTCGACCTTCCGGACAACCATGTCGGCCACGTGGGTGAGATATTCCTCCCGTTCGATCATGTAGTGCATGTTGGTCAGGTTGCTTTCCGTGCGGTGGCGTAACCGCCCGATGATCCGCCGCACTTCGATGGTGAAATCGGTGCCGATGTTCGGCCAGGTCAGCGCCGTCATGAGGCACCACCGGACACCCAGAGGGTTGTCGGCCAAGGTAAACGCCCGCAGAAACATCTTCAGGCAGGGCCCATCGTAGGCCAGGGTTCTCCGGTGGCGGGACATATAGATCGCGGACAGAAGCTCAATGGCCAGATCGGGCTTGTCCTCATGGATTAGACGCCGGCAGAGCGCGACCAGCATGTGGTGCTTGACGACCATGTCCTTCCCGGACGAGCAGATGTCATAGAAGCGGAAGACTGCGAGTTTGATGTGTTCGTTCGTAGCCTGCGTGTCCATCTCAATCACCTGGCGGAAGTATTGGGGGAGGAACCGGGTCACGTTGCGAATGCTCCTCCAGTCGGAATCAATCAGCTCACGGGCTGCCTCGATACCCTTCTCGATGATAGTAGCGATGACGGCCAGCTCCACGTGCACCTGCTTGAAGTGAAACCTGGCAGCTTTCGCAGCCTCGTACCGCTTCAACGCCTCGACGAACTTGCCGTTATGCATGTAATGCGCCATCAGCCGGTGGACTTTCTGATATTGATCCACCGGCCTCGACGTCTGTGTTTCTTGCTGCATCCGTTGGAAGAATGGCAATGAGTCCTCGGTGAACGGCATCTTGTTGACCTCCGGACTTGGGAAGGAGTGTTGATCATACCCCAGAATCCGCTGTGAAGCGGCGGCCTGGCCGTACTTCATGCGCGCGGCTTGCAGCATCTGCCAGAAACCAATCGGTGAATGCTCGAGCGCGTGGCGCCGGGATCGCAGCATTTCCAGGAATGCAAATTCATCCATGAGTTTGGGCCATTGGCGTTCCTTGGCGAAGCGCAGAAACTCATAGACCATCTCCCGATCGCCCTTGTGCACCAAGGCCTCCAGAATGTGCTTGTACAGGACCCGATCGGGGACGATCTCGAATTCGGTTAGGTAGCCATACAGCCATGTCCGGATCTCCTCCGCAGTGTGCGTCGGCCAGTATTCGAGGAAGATGCGGTCAAAGACCGGGATGAAGTCGGCCGATCTGTAGACCAAGCGGAGTTTGTGCATTTCTTCGAAGCCGGCACGAACGCCCTCCCAATCGCACTCCAGTGCCTTGCCCAGCAACAGGAGCCCTTTGGTCCGGCAGCGAGGCGGGATTCCATGGTTCCGCGTCATTTCGTTCGCCAGGGCTTCGGCGTCGGCGAGGCGGCCAAACTCAACGTATGCCTTGATGACCGGGTTGAACAGTTTATCGGTAGGCTGCTTGCCGAGACGCATGAGGACCCGCAGCAGCTTGCTAAGTTGGCCGTTGAGCAGCTCTATGCTTCTCGTCTTCCTCCAGAGTCCCGTCAGGTACGCTCCGCACAGGCCACAGCCGCGATCATACTGTAGATTCCGGAGAAGGAACCATTTCGCCGTGGTCAGTCGGTGCGACTCGACCAGACAGCGGAGCACAATATCGATCATCTCCGGCGAGGCCTTGAATCTGTGCATGTAGCGCGTGTAGATCGCAGCCGCAGACTCGATGGCACCTTTCTTCGCCAGCGTCAGAATCATGGTCCTCCACATCTCAAACGAGACCTGGTCCACCGCTTCCACCCGCTCGAAGACATTCCGTGCCAGATGCACATTCCCGGCCTTGCAATTGGCGAAAAACACCTGTTCCGCCAGCTGCCGTCGTTCCGGAGCCAGGTGCTGGTGTGTCTCGGGGTGCGTGTCGAGAAACAACTGCGCCGCGTACACGGGGCGGTCATTGGTCAGCAACCATTGGATCTGCCACGTAACCGGCTGATCTTCCAGAGTATCCATCAGCGCCTTCTCATCCGAAAGACTATCCCCAAATGTGCCGGGCGCGATCTTATGAAACTCGCTCGCGCTACTGCCACTACTGTCGCTACTGCCAAGGGAGCCCAGGCCATCAGCAAGCCCGGCAGTCTGCATCTGCGGGTTCAACGGTCCCGGTCTCGTATCTTTCAGCAACTTCTCCACCACAGCGGACGACGACGCACTACCGTAACCACCACCACCCGGTAAGGGGATATACATGTTCTGAAAGGAATTTGTTGTTGTTGTTGTTGTTGTTGTTGTGCGGTCGGACGGATGATTGTTCACTTCTGGCGTTGGCGTTATCGGTGGTGTTGGCTGTGATGCAGCGCGACGATCCTGGTCCTTCAGGGACTCCAGTCCCATGAACTCACCGGCCTCGGCGGCCTCCATCATGCGAGCGAGCCTTCTCGCGGCGGCCGTGGCATCGTAGTTGGGGGCGGAGGCATGGAGAGCGCGCTTATTCTCGACAATGCGTTCGGCAATGGTGACCCGGCGGTGCACATCGTATGTCACGGCCGCAATGGTACAGAACCCGCCCACCGTAGATCCGGCGAGAGCCAGCCGTCGCAGGACCCGAAGGGCGTTGCGCGAGGGGACGGCCGGTGTTGTGGTGCCGCGGGCGGCTGCTGCTGATTCGGGGGTCATGATGGTCTGATTTCAAGGCATCGCAGACCCGTGGAAGACTGCAGCACCTATACCATGAGCACAGGCAGGTCTATGAAGTCGAGGTGACCGAGGGAGGTCAATGGTGAGACCTAAGAGGAGCCCACGGGGAAGACAAGTGGGGGAGGAATAGAGGGGGGATGCCAATTGAATTAGAAGTCGAGATGAGGGCGGACAATTATTTTGCGGGAAGGTTTGCAAAGCAAAGTTGGGCGGAGGCACCATTTTGGTCTCTCCCGTCCGCCCTATTCCAAACTACCGCACTTCCGGCCGATTTCCGGGTGAAGCCACATACAGTACGGATTTAATCCATCTACTGATACTCAACGTACCAGCATCAACATCCTTGGAGAAATACCGAGAAATTAGAATAGCGATGGTTCATATGTGTATTTGTCAATTTTTTTTTCATTTCTTTCAGATATTTCTGCCTTATGTGAAATTTTTCAATGTCTAGACATCTCCCCATCTGCATTCTCCCTCTTGTAGAAATTGTGAAACCGAGGAATAGAATAGCAGGGCAGAAAAAAAGGGTGTTTTCTCAGTAGTAAAACACAAACACACATGACATGAAACAATCAAGGTATGCAAATAAGGATGAGCAAACAACAAAAGCAATAAACCCACTCGCCTAGCACCCTGCTATGTTGGTATATTGACAATGATAACTGATGATGGTGATGATCATGCCGGTCGGATATAATATTCAAAGATGCGTTGCCAGTCACAGCACACAAGAGCAAAATAGAACAACAATCAAGAGAAAGCAAGAGAAAGGGGCCAGTATGTATAAGAGACAATGCCTGCGCTCCATTTTTGTATATCGAGGGTCCGCGCGCACCATATTTGGTGGATGTTTTTGTGTATTCCGTTTCCCGTTTTGTGCACAAAGAGACGTTGCGAGAGGATGTTGATAGCCTTCCAAATCCGGGCAGTGCAATCGACGAAAGAAAAAAAAAAAAAAAAAGTCGAACGAAGAAGATGAAGAACGGGGCACATATACCGTATGCAATTCATGCGAATAACCCGTGGTAGCCAGCCATACCCCCTGGTTGCCAATTTCCGTGATTTAACCTTGCAAAACGCCAATATTCAACACGAAAAAAGAAGAGAAAGAAGAGCAAAGTGTCATATACTACCATGGAAAGGTAGCGAAGCAAGTGCAACCGAAATCATATCATCTGCAAGAGGACGTCGCCTCGTTTATACACTACCAAAACACCTTCCCTCGCAGGGGGGAGGATAGTTGGCAGAAAGATTGTTTCGCAATAAAGGAAAAGATCGCGCTGCGATAGAAGGTGCACAAAAGCTGTGTCACATCGCACAGACTTTTTGATGTATGTATTGAGATCAATTCTCGAACCAAACATGTCGACGACTCAGCTCGACCACGGGAAGGCGGACAGCACGGGGCACGTTCTGCACTGCAACGCGCATCAGTAGCAATGCGAAGCATAGACCGAGTTCAGTCACGTCTTCAGCCGCCTTTTCTCAGAGATTCATCCGCAGGAAGTGGCTCAGCGCCACTCTGCAAGCCATGTCGGTGCTCCGTAGAGTGCTTGGCATTCCTTTTTGGCTTTCTGCTCTTGGGCATCTGCCAGCCGCTGCTGGCATGGTTCACTGTGGAATCCTGTGTGGAACTAACCCCGTTTGACTTCCGTGGCTGAGAACCCACATTTCGTCTCTCGTTGTCGCCGGACCCAGACGAAGAGTTGTGATTCTTAGATTTGGCCTTGTGGGTACCTCCATTGGCTCTTTCCGATGACTCAACGCCGTTGACACGGCGCTTCCCAGTAGACGCTGCAGGTTGCTGTTCGGTCACTGAAGAAGTACCCGAGGTCGACGTTCCTTTCTCTGGTCCATGGACCTGTCTCGGTCGGGGGGCCTCTTTATCCACATGTTCTTGTTGACTAGGGACAGTCTTAGGTTTCTCGGATCCACCACGAGCCACAGGCTCGGCTATCTTCTCCGAATTTGACAGATGCAGACTTTGCAGACGGCTGGAAAGCAGACTATGCTTTCCTCCATGACCATTGACAAAGGGATCGCTGACTTTGCCCGTAGGATATGACTCAATCCCTTGCCGTGCGAAATAAGGTGCCGCGTCAATCTCGACGGAGCTGTTATCCGGATAGTCTTGGGAAAACGAGTCGGAGACACTGGCAGGAGTGTCCGTGTTGATCTCATCCGAGGCGGATGTACAATGGCTCATGGTAGCATACGGGTCGTAGTGTTCTGCTGAGGCTGAGAGACGCGGTTCACTAGGAGGCACAGAGCCATCCACGATCAATGGGCCGCCACGATCCCCTGAGGGTGCCGATCGAGAGGATGCACGCTGTTGCGAAGAAGCAGACTTGGTGGGAAAGGTGTTAGCACCGTCGACGCCCTGGCCAGCTACCTCGTTGGGTGACATAGACTGCATGTATTCCTGGGAACTTCCGACAAAGGGCATCATGCCACCGTTCTGCATTGTAAGCCCCACCGGAGACGAGAGGGAGGACAACAGAGCGTTCTGGTGATACGCCTGCAATTGCGGAGAGGTCGCCAGGAAATAACCCATATATTCGTTCGTTCGGCTCTCGTCGAAATAACCCGAGCGAGAAACGTTGGGTAGGCTGCTGGGCATGAAGGAGCTTTCGTTCTCTGCCTGCGTGCCGTCTGGAGAACCAGGCATGTTGCGCGACTTCGACGTCGGCGAGCCGTCCGCTGCTTGGGGGATAGAGTAGAGCGGAGCATAGCTTGGAAGGGAGTTCACAGGGCGTGCCGGTTGCGAATGCGCCCGCAGTGACCCGCTTGGTGACCCGTTCGCTACTGATGACCGGCGAGGACTGCGTCTCAGGTCCGGCATTGCGGTGGTTGCTGACGGCGACGGTGGGTTGGTGCTGCTCCCTTGCACACCTGGAACAGTGACGGGGAGGTACGGGGTGCTATAGTAGACCGGCTGACGGAGTGATGCACCGTGCGTTTGATGATTCGTTGTTCCGGATCTTGACCGTGAGTTGTCCTCTGTAGAGGTTTCCTGCTGCTGGGGCATTGGGAACTGGATGAACGGTTGCCGAATGAGGACAGGCGGAGGACGTCCTGTCAAGAGCGCCTGATTTTGCAGTTGGAGTCGCAGTTCTTGTTCCTGGGCTTGAAGAATCTGAATTTGTTGGTAGAGATGATCATGTAGGAGATATTGGGCATGCTGAGCTTGCAAAGATAGTTCGGACGCACTCATACCGTTGGGTTGTCGGAAGCTATTCGACTTATTGGGGGTGTTGGAAGCCCTCCGGCCACCAGAATTTCCGCCGCGGCCGAATTGATTCGAATGTCTTCCACCTCGGCCACCGCCACGACCACCTCGAGAGGGTGGTGGTGCTGCGGTGATGACCGGCCGCGGTTGCGGGGGAGGTCTTTCCCATGAACGCTCCTCTTCTGGCGGGTACTCGTACTGTTCGCAGCAAAGCTCCAGGTTGCCCTCGGATACGGCCTTGAAGGCCCGGCGGAGCTCCATGTGAACCCCCCGAAATGACGTATCATCCGCGGTGTTACCCAGATTTCGAGACGTGTTGAAAGGTTCTTCAACACACAGGCGATTGTTTTGCAACAAGTGCCATCTCTTAGCCTCCTTTGACAAGAGCTTTCCCTCCCTGACGGAGATCACGTTTTTCTCGTAGTCCAGCTCATGGCCGTAGTACCGAAAGAATTGGAAGAGCAACTCTCCAAGGGACTGCTTGTTCTGTCGTCCAAAACCGACGAGGGAATCAAGATCATCATCGAAGGAGCAAACAATTCCGTCCGCGGTTGTTTTCTTCTTGTGAGGTCGAGCCTGGAGGCTCGGCAGAATGGGAGGATCCCGCGTTTGCAGGAAATTGATAATCAGACAGATCCACGTATAAGAACTCAGGGTGCCTCCAAGTCCTGAAAACCAGCGGGTCAGTGTCAGCCATCAAACAAGGAGAGGCCACTGCAGCGGGGCAAAAAAAGAGCGGCGAACGGAGCGTGCGCTGCATGCCATGAATCCAGATTCTGACACGTACCGGCATCATTCAATATCCTCCGCTTTGTCCAATGTTTCACGATCATGGCCAGGGGCCGAATGCGCTCGTCCAACTCTACATACGTCCGCACCATCCGCGTGTTCTCCAAGGCCATGGTATTGTTGACGTTCATGTCACATGCTAATTGCAGCTCCGGGTCCCAGATCTTGACGATGGGGACTTTGGCGTGCGAAACGCAAACGACTCGCTCCATGCCATCTGTAGTGCATCACCGTTAGAGTTGCGGCACAGATCAAGATCAAGATCGAAACAGTCTCCTTACGTTTTGCGAGAACCTCCGCCAGCAGACACACGTGCTCCAGCTCTTTATAGGTGGTGGTTATACAGATGTCAACTATACCTCGGGTCAGCGGCCAATCCTCACGTGGGGGGTCATCAACTTCCACCCCTGCCCGGGTGGCGGCCAAGTACATACCATCCGAATCACTCGAACAGAGTTTATTCCCCGACGACCCAAAAACATGAACCTTAATATTACATCCCGGCCACTGATCATTGAACAGTTTTTCCAGCTTGCGGACGAGTTGCCGCCGTCGGTCGTCGCTCTCCGCTGATGGTAACAGTCGGTCGTAGACCTCCAGCATGTCGGCCGTAAGCCTTTGTTCCTCCTCGGGCTCCAGGCGCTCCTTCAAGCCCTCCTTCTCCTCCGGCAACAAGTCGGCCCCTATGGAGTACGGTATTCGTCTCCGGAAGAAAGCCATTGCCGTCTCGTACTTGCAGCCGCCATACTGTTTTCGCATCGAAGGGGGGAGGTGGGTGGACTCTGAGTGGGTGGAGCGGGGGGAGGTGCTCCCGTGGGGAGGCGAGGGCGATCGGGAATGGAAGGAGATTTTCCGCGCATGTTGGTATGGCGTGGAGGGCAAGGAGTTCGATTGTTGCGAAGACAATGGGGGCCGATTCTTTGCCTCCGGAGACGTATTGGTCGATAACTTCCACGGCATCATCGAGGCCTTTTCCGAGGCTAGCGGAGACTTTCCACCTTGTACGGAAGAGATATTAGCATTCCCATGGGTGTCTGAGAGCATATAGTGACTCCAACGTTGCCGCCAACGTTGGCCTCCAAGAAGGTGCGATCGGAAGAAAACCCGCTGTT